TCATTTTTTTTTTTTTTTTTTGTGTGAGAAATCCTTCTCTCTAATTTTAGACTATCATTTGTACTAAAAAAAGAAGAAATTTAGATTAGCTAAATAATAAAGATAAACTTCATATGATATTGGTCAAATGTGATACAATTTGAGATGATTATAGTTATATATGGTATACTATCAGATGAGTGGGCTGTGGATTAAAGAATAGGGAAATTTGCATAAATACCACATGAACTTTTAGGCATGTACGTCATTACCACCTAAACTTTTAATTTTTATTTTTAACCACCTGAACTTTGTAAAGTGTTGTAATCCAACACTTATGTCTAACTCCATTAAAAAATCCATTAAATTTAAGGGTATTTCCTTCAATTAACTGTAACTAAAAAGAATTATAAAGAAACAGAATTTAAAAAATAAAATTAACCTAATTATACGCATTACCCTAAACCCTAAACCCTTCCCCCCACTACACCCGACCACAAACACTTTGCTTTTGTCACTTGGATTATCAAACCCCTTCTTCTCAAACCTTGAGATTATCTCTTCCACAAGGCCACGCTGAACTCCATCAGGTTTCACCATTTTATATGTCTCATCAACTTGTTCCAATGAAGCAGCCAAGTGGGGAAGAAATTTGCGAGGTTTGGGGAGGGTTTTAGCATGAGGACAAGATGGGAAATATGAGAAAACGGTTATTCTTGTGGTGGGTGTAAGATAAGCTGCAAATTCTCCCAGTCGCTGAGCGTTGAAGGGTGAGGAAACACATGGACTTGCTCCGCCAAACACTGTCAGAGTCTCCATTCTGTCTCTGCTTCTATATCCCTTCTTTTTTATTTTTAAAACTATGTTTTTTAAAATTAGTTTTTTAGTGAACTGATGAAAATACTTAACAGAAATTTTAACGGAATTAGACGTAGGTGGTGGATTGCAACACTCTACAAAGTTCATGTGGTTAAAAATAAAAAATAAAAGTTTAGGTGGTAATGTCGCACATGCCTAAAAGTTGAGGTAGTATTTATGCAAATTTCCCTAAAATAAAATATATTCAAAATAGTCATTTTCCAAATTAGCATAATTGTTACTAGAATTCCCCAAAAAACAAGAGTGCTGCTATACGAACCCTAAATTTAACTGAGTACACCCTACTATCAAACTATTTATTGAATTACAAATTTACCCTAATATAAAATGACCAAAAAGGATATATTGAATTGTGAAACAAAAATAATTTTAATAAGTACACCCTACTCACCATATTCAACCGTAATCAAACGCAAATAAACTTTCGTGTTGCTTGGTGCCAGTAAAAGGATTTGTTAGCTTGTTTCAGCAAAGTGAATCATGGGGGTTATCTTGTTTCAAGTACCACCTAATGAGCTATATAGATTTTCTCATCGAATTCCTTCGTTCAAGATTACTAGTGCTTAACAATGATGGCCTTCCATGTCCACCTCAAGAATTGTAACTGTATTTTGGTTTGAAGACTGACGATGGCTTATTGGGGTCACTTCTTTGATTATGTTTCTCTCTAAATCAATGCTGAAAATAGAAGTAAGATGATGAAGCTTTGAATTGAGGAGCTAGTAAATCTACAGCAACTTACGAAATTAAAGATTTGATGCAAACTCAAAATATGAAAAGAGGGCACGAATTCATGTAAAAAGAGAAATCTTGTTTAGGATTGGTATTAGGGTGTTGTGTGATAGATTGTATTAGGGTGTATCAGGGATATTTTTTGTAGTTAAATAGGGTGTACTTAGTTAATTTTACATTTTGATTAAAATATTAGGGTGTACTTAGATCATATGGTGTACTCATTTAATTTTAGGGTTCGTTTAGCAGTACTCTAAAACTTATTGATTAACTAGTCAATTAGAGATAACATAAGTTATTGGGAATTATATTCTGTCGGATGCTTATATGGATTTTTAAACACCAAGAAAACCCTTTGGGAAAAAGAAAAAACCAGAAAAGAAAATAAATATCGAAAGAATATAACATAGGATATACCTCAATGACCAGGTATTGCTTCAGCCTAACAAACAAAAAAGAAAGCATCTCTTGACGACCCTTCTTTTTCTTCCTCCATCTCCATCTCCAAAACATGAAATAATGGACACAGAGAGAGAGAGAGAGCCAAACAGAATCTATAAAACATGAGTAAGAAAAAGATTTTTTGAGATAAAAGGAGGCGCACAGAAGTATATCCATGGCATATGCTATTTTTTGTGCCCTTGTTCCATTGCCTGAGCCTGAAAAGCCTGAAAAAGCTTGGAAAGAAGAGGTGTATATAAAGCAGCTTGCACCCTTACTCAGTCAGTCGTCAACTGGTGTAGATTTGTGAAGAAGACAATGAGCGGATTAGTTGTAGGGCTTCTCTCCATTGGCAGGCAATATTATTAATCATGGATTTTGTGTTCTTTTAAGTTATGACCCGCCAAAGGAGAGTTGCCCTTCGACTGCTTCTGTTCAATGTGATTGATCTTCTGACGGTCCAAAGATAGTGTTCCATTCGGAAGGTATGGCTTAGAAAACAGAATCAATATATGTGATTGAATTTTGGGTTTAATTATTAATTTCTTTATCTGAATTTGTTTTGTTTTGTTTTGTTACCTTGGCAATTGCGAGTGAGTGCATGCATGTGTGAGTCGCCTAATTATAGTTTAAAGAACGCAGAAATGCCAACTTTATGTGAACCCTTTATGAATTACACATATGTATCCGTTTGTCCACTAGGCGTCTCTCCACCACCACCAGCTAGTTTTTTTTTTTGTAAAATTGGGATGTTTTCTGCTATCTAATTGCTAGTATAGGAGAGTTTGAACCTAATTAAAGATACTTCTTTTGTGGTGTTCATAGTTTAAGTGGTAGAGAACTTACCCAAACAGACATGACAACGAGAGCTTGATTCTCGCCATTCCCATCCAAAGCTTAATTAGTTTCTCCTCATAAGATTGTTATTGTGAAAAATGCCATATATGCATATATCAATTTGCTTGATTCTTCAAGCAAAATTTATGCCAAAAGAAAGAGTATATGAACACCAAACTTGACACACCACCAGCTAGTTTTTTTTTGTGTAAAATTGGGATGTTTTCTGCTATCTAATTGCTAGTATAGGAGAGTTTGAACCTAATTAAAGATACTTCTTTTGTGGTGTTCATAGTTTAAGTGGTAGAGAACTTACCCAAACAGACATGACAACGAGAGCTTGATTCTCGCCATTCCCATCCAAAGCTTAATTAGTTTCTTCTCATAATATTGTTATTGTGAAAAATGCCATATATGCATATATCAATTTGCTTGAGTCTTCAAGCAAAATTTATGCCAAAAGAAAGAGTATATGAACACCAAACTTGACGCAGATATATTAACCATTTTAACAGATGCGCGGTGAAAGTCATTTGCTTTAAATTAACATTGTTGAATTTAACGCAAGGAGTTTACCAAACATATGGTTCCTTAAGAAATTGTTCACCGCCGGAGGAGAAAGTGGGACCAAACACAGTAGGAACAATATCATGTCCAAACAGAAACTTTTGCGTGCAAGGCTATAATTTTACCGTTTTGATAACACAAGACTCACAATTCAATTCAAGTGTCTGTTACACTTGGTTCCAGGATTGTCTAAATGAGGACTCTTCTGAGTGTACTATTGCTTGACTCTCTTGTAGTCTCGCCATGTGTGGTACTCTTTCCTCTTCTGGGATTTTGTCCCACTCGAAGAGGTTTTAACGATGCCACTCTATACATGTTTTATCCTTGTAATACTCTGATTTTCTAATGAAATCCATCATCTTCTCAACAAAACAAAACGTGTCTGTTACACTTTCGTAATTTTTTTTCTTGCTTTTTTGTTTGTATATTAATGTATGCCATATAGTTGATTGATGTAAAATATTCTTTTACTTGATTTGGTGTCTAACCATTCTGTGGCTAGATTAATTTATGCAAAGATATTTAAAGAAAACTATATGCCTAAGTATAACCAGTTGGAGAAAGACTCATATTCGATTCGACTCACAAATGTGACAACTATACATATTTGTGGTAAGGTTAATACCTAGTTGTTGGATATATAGCCTGTGATTGAATTATATAACCAGTGTAAAAATAAACTTGTAAATATTATATCGTTTTATTTATCGCAGTCCTGATTGTAATGTGCAAATATATGCACTTAAGAGTAAGCAGATAAATAGAATTGAAGACGTCAGAGAACAGTTTCTTCAGGTTCGATAGCAATTACTGCTGTTTACACAGAATACCTGTGACTCAATCCTGCTGATAATAAACAAAAGCATATAGTTAATTGCATACGTGTTCACACACATACTGATCAAATTCAAGAATGATAGTGGCAGTTTAGAAGTTTTTTTTTTTTTTTTAAAGAAAGATAATTCATTCATAAAACCAAAGACGTACAAAGAGCGACATGATATAGTGGCATCATTAAAACCTTCCTAGGACAAACCCCAAGGGAGGAAAGAGCACCACACATGTCATGGACTAACAGGAGAGTCCAATTCAGGCCACTTTGGACCATTACAATAAAAGAACAAATCAAAAATGAAAACTAACACAAAGACCTCTGACGAGAACCGCAACTAGAGGCTAACACAGTAGACCCACATAAGAAGACCATAGAAACTCCAAATAGTAAACCCACAGGAGAGGATCAC